GACGGCGAACCGCGGCCAGTGGGGGCCGCGATCAGCCGAACCTGCCGCGTCAGCAGGTAAATAAACTGGCCTGGCCCGCCAGGGTGCTTACCCTGGCGAGCCGCATGCCAAACGTTGCCGACCCCTGTATTAGAGGATAACCTAGGTATAAAAATTAGAAACAAAAGCAAGAACTCCTGAAATGTGGAAGACCGAAGTCCCTTGAAATAGAAAGAAGGGAGCACCTATTGCCACTACAAAGCCATCACAATAAGACTAGACGTTTGAGGCTCTGTAAAAGGATATGAAAGAGATTAAGAAAAAAGGAAACAAGGAAGAAGGAACTTGTTTTCATTTACAATTTGTCAAGCCATTAGGAAATTAATTGACAGATAACATAGAAGGAGGTAAAGAGAGGGCAAGATGAGAAGGAAATAATTAGGAAGGAACTCACTTCAGATAAGATATTTCCCCTCTCAGCAGGTTATTTCATAATTGCCAATTACAGGGTTTCATGAACCTTTCTCTAAAAGTATCCCACTCTGGCCTCTGCTAGAGACAGGATAATGTACTAGGTCAATGGTTCTCAACCTGCGGTCTGCTTGTGGCCCAATCAGAACGGAGCTGCAACCCATGTGACATCCTCAGGGCCATACAGTGCAGTAGGGGGCTCAGGGTTGGGATGTGAGGGCTCTGGCTGGGGAATGTAGGCTCTGGGGTGGGGCAGGGCCAGGGATGAGGAGTCTGGGGAGCAGGCAGGCTGCCCCCATCTGGGGCCAGAGAGGAGGACTCCCCCCACCCTCTCTTCACCAGCAGCAGTGAGCTCCAGGGGAGGGACCCTCTCTCCTCCCCAGCAGCACACTCACCTCGCACCACTGTTATTGCACATGCTCCTAGGGCCCCTCTCAGGTCCTGGAAGTCCCCTCACCTCCCCTGTGGTAGGTGCGAAGGGGGGGGGGGCCTAGCATCATGTGTGCGCCTCCTCCCCTGCCGCTGCCCCTCACTGTAGCCTCACTGGGGGGTGGGGGGATGGGGCTGCCCCTTGCCCAGCATGGGGCAGGAGCGGTGACTGCAGGTGGGGGGCTCCCTGCTCTGGTGGAGGGTCCCATCAGAAAAAGGAAGGGTCTGTCCATCACAGGCAGTGATGTCTGTCCAGGCAGAAGGGCAGGGTCAGGTCAGCCTGCCCTGGCACTAGTGGTTGGGGGCACTAAGACCCTGCGAGAGCAATTGATGCCAGAAGCTGGCAGAGCAGAGCACAGCTGCAGGGGGCAGCTACCCGCTGCCCAGGCAGGGGCGCTTGGGGGAGGCGCACCAGGGCAGCAAGCGGGACTTGACAAACATTGGTGGAGCTGGGCCCTGGGCCACGCATATTGCTGGAGCATGGGCACCACGGGCCCATATAATTCAGCACCCCAGCACTATTTACCTCTCTCCATTCTGAAAACTGGCCATTTATTCCTACCTTTTGTTTCCTATCTTTTAACCAATTACCAATCCATGAGAGAACCTTCCCTCTTATCCCATGACTGCTTATTTTCCTTAAGAGCCTTTGGTGAGGGACCTTGTCAAAGGCTTTCTGAAAATCTAAAATACACTACATCCACTGGATTCCCCTTGTCCACATGCTAGTTGACCTGCTCAAAGAATTCTAGTAGATTGGTGAGTTATGATTTCCCCTTTACAAAAACCATGTTGACTATTCCCCAACAAATTATGTTCATTTATGTGTCGGACAATTTTGTTCTTTACTATAGATTCAACCAGTTTGTCCAGTACTGAAGTCAGACTTACTGGCCTGTAATTGCTGAGGTCACCTCTGAAGCCCTTTTTAAAAATTGGCAACACATTAGCTATCCTCCAGTCATTTGGTACAGAAGCTGATTTAAATGATAGGTTACAGACAACAGTTAGTAGTCCTGCAATTTCACATCTGAGTTCCTTCAGAACTCTTGGGAGAATACCATCTGGTCCTGGTGACTTATTACTGTTTATTTTATCAATTTGTTGCAAAACCTCCTCTAAAGACACCTCAGTCTGGGACAGTTCCTCAGATTTGTCCCCTAAAAAGAACGGCTCAGGTTTGGAAATCTCCCTCACATCCTCAACCGTGAAGATCAATGCACAGAATTAATTTCAGGGCTCTGGAGCAGAGCCCAGAACTGGAACGCAGAGCAGCTCTGGAGCTGCAGGTTTTTGCCTGGAGCTCAGCGCCAAAGCCCTGATTAATTTAGTTTCTCTGCAATGCCCTTATCATCCTTGAGTGTTCTTTTAGCATCAGATCGTCCAGTGGCCCCACTGGTTGTTTAGCAGACTTCCTGCTCCTGATTACTTAATGTTTTGTTATTACTTTTTGAGTCTTTGGGTAGAATGTTCTTCAGATTCTTTTTGGCCTTCATGTAGCAGATCGAGCACTCACCGCCTCTTGCTGGTCAGTCTGGGAATTAGCTCAATTCCAGCACTTGAAGTGCCTCCTGCTGACCAGTGTCTCTCCTGCCTCAGGCCCCAGGTCCTTCCCAGATCCCAGTGCCCCTTACCCTGGAGTTCTGCCTCACAGCAGTACCCCCCCACTCTGGATCTCCCCTCCCAGGGGAACCCCCAACCCTCTATGCCCACCTTGCCTCAGTGGCTACTATCAGTCATCATCTAGCCCCCGTTCTCTGGGGCAAACTGCAGTCTGTAATGGCCACTCACCACTGGCAAGAGAGTTGGACCTGCCACCGTTCTTGGCCCAGCTGTCTCCCTGCAGCCCCAGTACTTCCTTGGGCCTTCAGCAAGGTCTCAGCCTGGGGGCTCACCAGGCCAGAGCTCCCCAGCTCTGCCTGCCCTTCCCCAGCATTGCATTGCTTTGCTCTGCTCTGCTTTAGGTACCCTGTGCTGCTTCAGACAGTTAGCTCCTTCCCACTCCAAGGCTAGAGTGAGACCTACCCAGTGCCTCCCTTAGCCCTTATATCAATGCCAGCTGTGGCCTGACTGGGTGTGGCCATAGCTGTAGCTGCCTTTCCAATCAGCCTACCCTTTTTCCCTAGGAGCAAGGTACCTATCCTGCTACACTTCCTACGGGGTTCTCTGCTCGGTGTCCCCGTCAGGTTCCCTTCTTTTGACCCTTTGACCGCACTCCTGTCCCTGTTTTTACATTAGTTGTCCCCCGTAATTATTTGAGTTCCAGGCCCTGTGGATCCTCCCCTTAGGCTGGGGGAGGATCCTTTAGCACTTCCCGGAACCCAATATGTACACTTCCTAATTATATTTTTACAATTCATTTGCCAGAGTTTATGCTCCTTTCTACTTTCCTCACTAGGATTTAACTTCCAGTTTTTAAAGGCTTCCTTTTTCTCTCTCGCTGCTTCTTTTATTTTGTTGTTTAGCCATGGTGTCTCTTTTTTGGTTCTCTTACTATGTTTTTTAATTTGGGGTATACATTTAAGTTGAGCCTCATTAGGGTGTCTTTAAAAAGTTTCCATGAGGCTTGCAGGGATTTTACTTTTGGTGCTGTACCTTTTAATTTCTGTTTAACTAACCTCCTCATTTTTGTGTAGTTCCCCTTTCTGAAATTAAATGCTACAGTGTTGGACTGCTGTGGTGTTTTCCCTGCCACAGGTATGTTAAATTTAATTATATTATGGTCACTATTACCAAGCGGTCCAGCTATATTCACCTCTTGGACCAGATCCTGTGCTCCACTTAGGACTAAATCAAGAATTGCCTCTCCTCTTGTGGGTTCCAGGACTAGCTGCTCCAGAAAGCAGTCATTTAAGGTATCAAGAACTGTATCTCTGCATCTCTGCCTGAGGTGATATGTACCCAGTCAATATGGGAATAGTTGAAATCCCCCATTATTACTGAGTTTTTTTATTTTAATAGCCTCTCTAATCTCCCTGAGCATTTGACAGTCACTATCACCATCCTAGTTAGGTGGTCTGTAATATATCCCTACTGCTATATTCTTATTATTCGAGCATGGAATTACTATCATAGAGATTCTATGATACAGTTTGGTTCATTTAAGATTTTTACTTCATTTGATTCTATGCTTTCTTTCACATATAATGCCCCTCAGCCTACCAGCATGACCTGTTCTGTCCTTCTGATATATTTTGTACCCCGGTATTACTGTGTCCCATTGATTATCCTCATTCCACCAAGTTTCTGTGATGCCTATTATAGCAATATCCTCATTTAATACGAGGCACTGTAGTTCACCCATCTTATTATTTAGACTTCTAGCCTTGGTATATAAGCACTTTAACAACTTGTCACTTTTTAGCTGCCTGCCATTATATAATGTAATTGTATGGGACTTTTTTCATTTGACTGTTTCTCATAAGATCCTACCTGTATTTTCTCATCTTCCATCCTCTCCTCCTTATTAGGACATAGGGAATCTCCATTTATAGATTGGAGACCTAAACTTTTATCTAAAATCTTATCTACACTAGGATCAGAGTGTGCTAG